CGCTGTTCTAAAACCAGCCAGTTTTGTCCATTTTGTACCAAAAAGGAAGAAAAGAAGAAAATGGGCAAAAGGAGGTAAAATGAGGAGAAATTTTTATTTAGGAAGAAAAGGGAGGAAAGGAGCACGAGTACGATGCAAACACTAACACAAAAATGTCATTTTCATTGAGATGAACCTATAATTTTGCTCACTACTGTACAACAAGAAAAACGGTATGAAATTATATATACCTCTATCTTTAATTTTTGCTTGTAATTGATCAATAACACCTATACCTTTTCTTACATATACTCTATTATCAAAAATCGAATCACCCAATAGTATCAGATGACGAGCCGTAGATGTTGCTTTACTATTAGCCATAATAAAAGAAGACACCTAAAGTTAGAGAGAGTTATAAAATAATAATTTGTGTAATAAAGACCGAATTTAGAAAGATCAAAGTCGAACTTATTTAGGCATGAGCGTTCTAGCAGTCATCTGAATAGTAAGTATATCAAAAATTTTCTAAAGAACAAAACAATACACTATAAAAATTTGTTTTAAAATCTCGTTTAGTTATAGAAAACTCTAGTTCTGGAAACTTTAATTCATTAAAATATTTTGGTGATTCATTCTTCAGAAGCAGTCAACCATTCTCTTACTAATCATCACTCCTATTTGTTCAAAGCTCAGGCTTTCTGTAATAAAAAAGAGATTGTAAAATAAATTTATTAGAGTTGAATTTAAATCATTTTCTTCCTTTAGCGACAATAATTTACTTGGAGAAGTTTGACAACATATTTATTTGTTTTTTGCACGCCTCTAGTCGGTTTTTCCGCAAAAACGCCCAAAGGAACCATGCAAAATGAAAAACCATACAGAACTCTTCAGGAAGTCCTGCCATTCTCCTGTTTTGATAGGAGCCCCGCAGGATTTCAATGAGACTCTTGACAAAATCTTTCGAGAGTAACGTTTACGCAAAAATCCCTGATTTTTTCACAAATCCTATATAATTCTCGCTGAAACTGCACAAGGCACATCGGTTCCTTTGTTTTGTCGAGACACGTAGGGGATGGATATGAGGGTCATTGTTTTGATGGTAAATTTTCAAAATTTTTCGTCATATACATGACTCATTACTAAAAGATCGGCTTAAAGTGATCTAGACTGGGGACGCACTATTTGATGAGAATCGGTACCGTTCTTCCTGATAAGTTCTTGATTAATGAACGATGAATAACTCGAAATGCCGGTGATTATCAAGAATCAACTTTCATTTTAGCAAACAGATAGAATCCTAAACTGCTAACTTCAAAATGGGACCCTTAGTCAACAACCCCGAAAAAAATCCCATAGAAGTCCGTCTCGCGAATACTGTATTTAACACTTTAATACTTATTTCCCAGTGTTAAGTTAGCAATTTGGGTTTCTATTTGTTTGCTCAAATGAAAGTTGATTCTTGTTAATCACCGGCTTCTCGAGTTTTTAATTCATCTCTCATTAATCAAGAACTTTTGAGGCTTGGGCTCCTCTATAACTAAAAAGTGATTGTAAAACAAATTATTTGATTACAAACAAAGTCGAGTTTAAAAAACACAGTATATTTTTTCTATGTACGTACAGCAGAAACATCCTTCCTTTTATTGGTTAAAAATACCATTTTAGAATATTTTTCGTTCTTTTCACAAACGTCTTTTTTTTATGATCAAAAATACTATTAGGTAGATGTCATAGTTAAACATGGTAAATCAGACTATGACAAATATTATGTTAGAAAGGAAAACTATACAGAAGAATGTGAACATAAAATGACTGGAATTGAACGTTAATCGAATATATTAAATTGGATTTATTGAACTGCAATCCAATAAATGAATTCATGGTATCGATATTTTTGATCACCCAAAAAGTGACTTTTGACCACTAAATTAATTAGTAGACAGACAACAAAAAGTACGTAAAGAAAATATATACAAGAAGAATATTTATATACAACAAGAAATAGGAACAGAACAAAAGTTTAATTTTATTTCTTTTGATCAACTTAGATGGTTTTAATGGTTTTATCAACATTTTTTATTTTCGAGCACTGTTTTATTGAGAAACGAGAAACCATATGGCTAAACTTTGCTGCGGAAAAGAATTCCAGTTTTTAAAATGCCATAGTTGCTGCTAATATTACACACTATTAATCATACTTTCAAGTTTTCTACTTCGACTTTTGTTCAAAACGGTTCAAAGTTGATTGAATCGATTCATCGACGATGTTCATCGTTGGATTAACACTAGAATGCCTGAAAATTTTCATGATCTAGAACGCCCAAAGCGGTCATATTAGTACTGTGCTAAACATCAAAGATGAATCTTAAAAATGAATATACAATCTTGTAGAGAATTAAATTGTCTATCGTTTGGTATAGTAAGGAATTTTTTTTCCTGAAACGATAGTATTGTATGCAGTTTGTTTTATTAGGGATAAAAATCAAAAAAGGGTTAAAATGACCGCTGCGGGCGTTCTAGTGTTAAGAAACGTGTGATAGATGATGAGGTAACTTACAAAGAATGGCAAGATTTCTCTCACGAAAGAGCTAATGACCTGAAGAAAATGACGTTTTTCCAATATACATTACCTTGGATGAAAACACAATTTCAACTGATACGAACGAATATTACGCAGTGATAACTCTTTATAGTTCAACGAACAGGAAAAGTTTTTCAGTTGTCTAAAGGGAATTTTTCTTAGTTGAATTGTGACTATACAAATCCACCTTTTCTCAGCGAATCGAGTCCAATATTCGAATAGTAGTCTACCCGCATTTTGGTTTTAGATGCATATGTGGAGGGTGGAAGCGGCCAGATAAAGATATTGAAAATGCTTTCTTCTGCATAAATTAAAAACCCCTTTTACTAAACCCATTAGAAACTTATGATTAAGACTGCGCAATAAAAAAGTTGTGTGTAGATGCAATTTATTTCAAGTACATTTCTGCACATTATAAAGCGAATTTGACATTTTACATTTATGTATTTTTCTTCTCTGTTCGTTAACAAACAAACTTATGTTGAAAATAGTTATGTTATTTCAGAATTTTTTTTCGTACGTCTAGTATGCAAAGATAATTTTTTCTGAGACAGTTAAGTAAGAAAAATTAATTTTATTCGATTTTTTGGTACGTGCTGAAACACATACCGTGAATTTGCTGCTAGTAGCTATCAAAACCTTATATATATTTCCTTATGAAACTGAAGAAATACTTTCTACTACTTTTACGATGAACTTTTACAAGTAACATGTCTGATCTTACTGCTCGAAACTGACATTGATGTTAAAACGATCTCTTCTATTCGTACAAACGAAAGGAAGAGTGGTTAGAACCAACTCATCGCAAATTGAACCATATCACATATCTATAGGAATCTTTCTCAAGAACAAACTAAGCGTTTTTTAGAACCAAGATTGAAACTCCAAACAATGCACACACAAATGACCTAAAGCCCTCTGATGGTTCCTATAAAAGTTTCAAGAACTTTAGGTTGGAATTTTCAAAAAATTTCGAAAAATCTCTAAAGAGTTGCTTTTAATCACTCTTCTTTTTTATTTCATGAGTAGAAGAGATCTTCTTTCCATTTATGTCATTTTTAAGCACTAGGACACACCAACGACATTAGGGTAGTAATAAGCATGAATCGAAGCAGACAAAATATCAGTAAACCCTCTTCCACAGAAGAAAATAATTTACTTTTTGTTATAAAAAGAATTGGAGAACTTATTGGGTCCTCATACTCAATAAATTCCCATTACAACAAACTATAGTAATCATCAAAACTTTATGATCAGGTCACTTATAAAGAATAACGTCTAAACAAAACTTGATATTAAATAGTTTTCTTCCATTTTATAACAACTAATGCAATTTAGCTTTTTTTTTTTATCGTTCTAACTATTCTAGGAAATTCACTATATTCTAACTTCTGTTCTTCTCTAAATATGTTCAAGTCTACCGGGAATGGAAAAAAATATTTAATTTTCCCATCTTTCGTTCCACTAAACCAAGTTATTTGTGAATACATGTCAACAATATACAGAATATATAATAAATTAGTTCGTCACAAATATATTTTTTTCTCTTGTACATTCTGTTTTAGTTTGACTGCTTTTGTAAGCGAAAAGATAATGTGGGTATTATAAATCAACGGGGCCATATGAGAAAAAAAAAGAGAAAAAAATAACTGTTAAGCTATCATTGAAGTGTTCAAATATTACTACATCATTTGTGAGAAGGGGCCAAATAATGGAACTTCATGTTTGGATAGTGTCCAAATCAGAGAATCCACTATACTTCAGAGTGCTGTATTCTGAAATATCGTTGAAAAAATCTAAAAATTCAGAAATGACCTGAGATGGTTGGTAAAACACTGGCAAAAAGTGTAGAACATTTTGTGAAGATCATATCTACGTGTAAAAAGTCAAGTTAACTGTTGAAATTATGGTCTTTGGGTCTTAAAAAGGGATAGGATCATGCCTGAAATATTAGAATGGTTTCTATGTGTAACAAAAGCAAACGATTTTGCAATTTTTTCTTCTTTTTTTTTTTTTGATTCGTGTCTACTGCAAGGTCTCTTACAATAAATATACTTTTTTTACAAATACACAGGTGAAGACCTATAAATTAAAGATTTGTTGAATAGACATATTTCGTCCAAACATAATCTGGTAGGAATATTTAAGCTAGCTTTACATATGATATCACAGCTTACTCTAATCCTATCGACATTGTATAGTAGGACAGCATGACCTTTTTTGCTTATATTAATGCCCATTTAAATAAACAGAGTAAACAAAGTTTATCAGAGTATTATCGAGCTTTTCAGATTACTGTATTTAATGTGAATATTTTTTGAATTGTTACGCTATTTTTTTCATAAATGATGATCACTCAGAATTCAACTACAATATTTCGTAATGTTGTTTGTTTTAGAATATCGTTTCTTGACTTATCGCTGATATTTGATCAACTATGGCACTAGATATGCATGCAACACTCACAGTTTCATGTGAAAGTTCACAAGAACAAACTGGTCCCACACTTGTTCATAGTACTGGTGTTAAAAGTTATCGTGTTCCACCTGAAGTCATTCGAATTTTACAAGAATCATGTACAAATGAAAAATTAAGTGATCATGAGAAAGGCGTTCAATGCACCGATCCACCTGCACACATTCTAGAAGTTTTTCGTAAAGAAGGATTCACCGTAACAAGTCAAACGTCTTCTGGAGGAAGAAAACTTTGGACAATAACAAAAACAGAAGGATCAGGAGGTAGCGGTGGTGGAAACCAACCACATCAACCAGTAAATCCAACGCCTGGTGGTGATCAAGGCAACGAGGAAGAAGCAGCTGGTGGAGAGGAAGAGGAAGAGGAAGAAGAAGAAGAAGAAGAAAAAAAATGATTTAATGTTAACTGTTCAGTATTCACAATGCTTGTAACTAATGACACAATGCGTTTCTTTCCTGTATTTTATTCTCATAAACATTTAAAGTTCTACAAATGTAATGACAACGCTTAGTTTTGCTTTCTGAAATAGATTGCTATTATGCCTAGTTTAGAAATCCTTACATTGAACATTGGAAGGTAAACGGTGTGAGTCATCGCATTCCGAGCGACAGATTTCCGGCATAATCCGACACAGTTGCTACCGGATGTTACCGAATTCCAACCACTTTCAGCATGTTTCGATGTTGGATCCGCCAGGATCCTGATGCCGGAATCAACGACCTGGCTAGTTTAGAAATCCTTACATTGAACATTGGAAGGTACTTGATTAGTTAGTTGTTTTTTGATCTAAAATGCACTACACTCATAGACATCATATACTTCTATGAAAATTAAGAAAAGAAGCCAGTTTTTCTGCATAGCAGATTATAATTCCTTTTTTCTTAAAAAATGTTTCATGTTCATTAGGATCAAAGCCATTTGCATTATGGTTGGCTGCCACATTTGTTAACTTTCCCTTCTTAGATAATATCATTTTCAAAAAAACTATTAAACAAAAAGAACACTGCATTTATTCGAATTCAACGTTTGTCTTGATCCAATTTTGCTGCAAATATCAACAACAAAATACAACGCAAAGAAAACATTTTTTTTCTTCTCAAGAAATTCTTTTCAGTAAAAAGAATGTTTACAGTATTTGCTTTTGGTCCGAAACATTGTTCTATTCATAATTCTTAGTATTGAATATTTTATTTACTAATTTTACATCCATTAATCACTTTCTCAACATAATTAAACAGTAGGGCGTAATGAGACGACATGTGCTTTATTACGAAAAATATTCTCACTCTAATACTAAAACGGCAAGAAAATCTAAGTGAAAAAACAAAAATAAAATTTAGTACTGAAGTTACATATCACATACAAATAAAATAAATATGAAACAAAAAACTATAGTAAAGATATCTATGATACTGTTGGTATCC